CCCTTGGCACTGGATCTCGGTGTCTGGGCTGAATGATGGGGGTGGAGATGCTCCTTCAGGTATACAGATACTGCTTCCTATGTCCTCAGATGCATTCTATGCCTGTACTGTGGGTTGCAAAGCTAGAGGCACACCACTAATGAAATACTCTTTGCGACTGCTCTTAAAATTCTAGGTGGCTTCCGTGGGCTGCAGCCAAGGACATCTTTTCTTCTCTGTTTGCATGCTTTCTCCTGTTATTTACTTGGCTAGCATAACCCCTGCTGGCCCCAGATGCAAGCAAGCTACCCTGGAAATAACAGTGTAGCTGTTTCGACACCAGCACTTAGGTGTTTCAAGCAGACTCGTCCTGCAGCTGTCATGCTCGATTCATCTGGACGTGAACTGGCATGGCCATGGAAGGCAACGCCAGTTAGCGGCAGCAAATTCATTTCCACCAGTGAGAGAAATGACGCACAGGCCCCGCTGGTTACTTGGGCATTCCTCTTGCTGATTTTTGAACCAGGGCAGTGGATGAGCAAAACCTTCCATTGCTAATGTGGTTCAGTGGAATAGGAACACAGGAGCGCAGGACATCATCCCCATTCCCATCATTGATTTTGTAATCACAATTTCAAAGCATGGCTATAGACATCTTTTCGATAATCTCCAATCTAACTGGGATCAAACAGCATCATGTAAGAACGTAAGAAGACCAAGCCTGCATAATCTTTCATTTTGCCCAATTTTATCTCATGAGCTCACTCTTTCAATTGAACAAAATCATATGAGCAAAAGGGGAAGCTTAAATCAAATAGACGCAGCATTCTTTCTTTTCTTTTTCTCCCTTTTTGGTATATATTTCTACTTTTCACTCTCTTTTATTATTTAGTTTTAGCTGCAAAATGAAAGTTTATGTTGAGTTGACTTTGCTGATAGAACCTATGTATAAAAAACTCTGCTTATTCCAACCTGATGTTCCAATTCTTAAAAATTGCCTGGTAGATGGGGGGACCACATGTTGAGATGCCTGGGTTGCAAGGGATTGGACTAGATGACCCTCAGGGTCCCCTCCAACTCTACAGTTCTATGATTCTATGGTTGTTTTCAGCTTGGGTTAGGAACCCCAGGGACTAGCAGCTGAGAATAAACAACAGCTGAATTCCACAAGCGATTCTGCATTCTGAGACTCTTCTGCAAGCCTGAAGTTAAGAATTTGGCCTATGTGAGAGGAGGGTGAATGCTGAACTGCAAGAACTGAAATACAGGCATGTGTTTGGTTTAGCAGATAGAAAATATGAATCAGCTTGAGTCATAAGGAGTTTGCATTTGTCACCTCTCCCACTGCTTTTGTGCCTTGGGAATTTTGACCGCCCTTTCAAAAACATTTTCCAGCTCTCCAATATCCTTTTTGAGATGAGGCAGCCAGAGCTGTACACAGGATTCTGTGAAGGGAAACAGGGCGTCTCTTAAAAGCTATCAGCACCCCTAACAAGCTACAGTTCCCAGGATTCTGTGGGGGAATCCACAGCCATTTCAAGTGGTACAATACTGCTTTAAAGTGTACAGTGCAGGTGACAGAGCTGGATGAAGCCATTTTGCCGCTTGAGACAGACCAGAAAACAGCTCTCTCCACCATATTCCAGCCTGAGGTGACTGGAGGCAGCCTGGGGAAGCCCAGGGAATTCCCCCCCCCTTAGGGGGTGACTGGAATGGTGGCGGCAGAGGTGGCTCCCACCCGCAACCAAGGAGGCATGGCAAAGGCAGCAAAGGCATGCAAGGATGCACCCCCTCTTTCTGGATCTGCCACCACTGCCAGCAGTCCCTAGCCTGCCACCTGAGGCAACTGCTTCAGCATGTCTAATGAGTGGGCCGGCCCTGGCAAATGGGGCCTAGAGGAAGCTTCCCCACTGCAGAAACCGGTCCAGAACATGTTGAGGTCAACTGGGATGTAATGAGGTCTGTGTGCTCATGCATGCCTCCTATTCCACATGTGTTTCCTGAAGCCCTATCCTGAGTCCCTGGAAAGAGCCTGACTCTGCTGTGACAAAGCATCTCACAGTTTCACTGGGAGTCAGGCCAGAAACCAGAGTATCGGCAGGGATCTCAATTCTCCCCCATTTGATTGTGATTGTGGGGATGTCGTCCAGGCCAGGGGCGTAACCAAAGCGCTTGCTTGGATTCACACCGTTTGAGCCCGGGAAGTGTAGCTGCGGTCCTGGCAGAGCGCCAAGCGATGATAGAGCACGTCCAGAAAAATCCTGGGAGCCCTAAATGCAGCAAAGTGCGCCATTTGAGACGATTGATTTTCCACGGTCCGGACAGAGAGATTTCCCCGTCATTCTCAAAAGCGTGAAGCAGTGCAGAGAGGCTCTCTTTGCATTGCGATCGCATGAAGACAGAATCAAACATCTGTGGGGACGGGGGGCGTTAGTCCAAAGCCCCGAAAGAAAGAGTCAGAAATCACCTGGTAATCAGTGGGAAGTGTGGTGAAAGACCCAGAGTTGATTGGAAAAGGAAAGGCATCCCAAACTCAGACCGCTGCTAGAAATTCCACAATGAACGGGCCAGAAATTCCTGGGGATCATTCGCCTCTCAGCTAGGCCTGACAGCATTTCCCAGCTATTCTGTTCCTCCACCACTCCACCAACATGCTCTGTCCTGAATCTCACTTCTCCCAAATTCTGCTTAAACTATGAGGAATTCTGAAGTTCGCTCCAGAATTGGAATGGGCCCAGCTTGCTGCAGCCCCAAATCCTTTTGATTTGTTGGTATTAATTTCACTCTCTACATTGACCATGTGTGCTGGGGGAGAAATTCAGTTAGAATTTCAGTGCAAAGCTATCTAATTTGCATTTTCCAAAACAACACAGAGGAAGCAAAATGCAGCTATCCTTTGAAATTTGTCCATTTCCAAATTTTCAGGGCAGTTCCCTGACTGAATATTGCAATAGGAAATGCATATATTATAGGAAATGCATCTATCAGTGCAAATCACATACAAAATGAATTTCCACTACGAGCAGGGCAAACTGTATCTTAATTGCTGGTTCTAAATGTGCTTGGGTGTATTTTGTTTTTTGACTGGTCTGTATTTATTACTTCATATTCTATAACGACGTCCTTGATTTTTTGGCAGCTGCCTTGAATCCAAGTTTGAGAGAAAGATGGTTTATAAATACCTTTAACAACAACATTAGGGGAGGGTGCTTGCAAAAATGGCTATCAGAGAAAATTGCATATAAAAATGTGCTTATCAAGATGAATTCACACTAAAATGCTGGTGAATTTTCACGAGGACGAACATTCACAAACTGATGGGGAAATGTAAAGATCTAAAGTTAAGAATGGGATAAGGAGAAGTTGAGAAGGTAAGTAATTGGGAATTAAGAACATGGTGGCATAAGTTCTTTTGTAAGAATTTACGAATTTATGGATGGATGTTTTTCCTTTTGTTGTTCTTTTATTCTTTTTGTTAATTTTGTGTGTGTGCTTGTTAAGTAAGAAAACTAATAAAAAGCATATTTAAAACAGGAGAAGTTGAGAGAAACTGAAAATGACCAAGTTCATCCAGCTCGACATGTGTGCCAATAAAACACTGCTGAAAAGGGAGTCTCCATTTCCTCTAGTATTTTATGGATGGATACATGTGAGAATGGCCAGAGTCTGTGGTTGGCCTCAGATACCCTGTTCTGCGGCTCACCATTAAATTCCATTGGGGGAACTGAGAGAAACTGGAACTGGAAAAATCTGCCAATTCCTAGGGCCAGCCATGGAGACCACTCCCAGTGGCTGATGTTGCTGTGGCCATTCCTTGTGAGTGATGTGTGTGGCACATGGCACCATTGCATTCCATCAGGGTGGTGGGTACCATGAACTGCGTCTTTTAATTTGTGGGAAATCCTCCCCTGAGAACTCGGCTTCTCCCACATCACCCCTTTAAGTAGACCTTAGAGTTATTTTCAGGTGTGACACGGTGTGAGAAGTGCAGTTGTGCCTCACATCGCCATACCCCTTGCATCTGCCTCATTCAAAACAGGACTTTTGCATCTTCCACCTCACTCAGGAAATGTGTGTGGACTGTCCCTCATCTGGGATCCTGCTCATTCCTAGGGATTAATGTCATTACATGAAGGCAGGGATGGGGAACCTCTGGCCCTCAGATATTGCTGGACTACAGCTCCTATTAGCATGGATAGCATGCCTTGGGCTGATATATTTATATCTGTATCTGTATCTGTATCTGTATCTGTATCTGTATCTGTATCTGTATCTAATGTATATCTAGAGACGCGGTTGGCACTGTGGGTTAAACCACAGAGCCTAGGACTTGCCGATCAGAAGGTTGGCGGTTCGAATCCCTGCGACTGGGTGAGTTCCCATTGCTCGGTCCCTGCACCTGCCAACCTAGCAGTTCAAAAGCATGTCAAAATGCAAGTAGATAAATAGGTACCGCTCCGGCAGGAAGGTAAACGGTGTTTCCGTGTGCTGCTCTGGTTCACCAGAAGCGGCTTAGTCATGCTGGCCACATGACCCGGAAGCTGTACGCCGGCTCCCTCGGCCAATAAAGCAAGATGAGCGCTGCAAGCCCAGAGTAGGCCACGACTGGACCTAATGGTCAAGGGGTCCCTTTACCTTTACCTCTATCTATCTATCTATCTATCTATCTATCTATCTATCTTATTGCATTTGCATCCCGCCCCCTTGAGACGGCACACACTGTTCTCTCTCTCCTCATTCAATCCTCACAACAGCCCTGCGAGGGAGGTTAGGCTGAGAGATGCAGTGACCAGCTCAAGGTTACCCAGTGAACTTCATACATTAGTATTAGTGAAAGTAGCAGGTGCAAGCATTTTATTTTTATTTATTTATTGCATTTATATCCCACATTTTTCCTTCAAGGAAGTCAAGATGTCATGTATGGTTCTACCGCTCCTCATACCATTCCCACATCAACCCTGTGAAGTAGGTTAGCCTGAGAGGCAGCCACTGGGCCCCAAAGCTACACCCTGTGAGCTTCGTGACCAAGCAGGGATTCAAACCCTGGTCTCCCAGTTCCTGGCCTGACACTCTAACCACTAGACCACACTGGCTCTCACTGATAGGAGTTGTAGTCCATCTACATCTGGCGAGCCGCAGGTTCCCCCGCTGTGCTCTAAGAAGTCTGTTTGGATCCAGATGTGTGAGCCCTGGCTGCAATTTCTTTCTAATCCCTTCTCTCTCTCACACACACTCATATTCTTATGAATCATCTTTCTTTAAATAGAACTCTTATATGAGGAAAAATAACAACAGCGGCATATTTTGTAAAAAAAAAAAAAAAGCACAAGGCTGTGAAACGTAAAACCCATATGCATAATGTTTCCAGGACTGGCTTTTTTGCGCTTTTTCTCCCACATGTATGGAGGGGGGGATGAGAGAGAGAGAGAGAGAGAGAGAGAGAGAGAGAGAGAGAGAGACCTACATCTCTATAAACACAGCGATCTCCATCTTTGTGCGCTGAAGCCTTGGGCAAACTCCGAGCTGACAATAGTGGCACTAATGCTAATGAATTCTGATTATTTGGATCAGTCATTAAACTAATAAGCCCATCTCCAAATTAGCGTTAGCTGCCTCGGCCAGTGAAAATTTCATCAAATCGGCTTCATTATTTCAGACGGGGCGCACTTGGCAAAAAGTGGCTGCGGGAGAGGAGAAGGGGACCCTCATCTGATAATTTTATCACTTGACTGCCAGACCGTGAAAAAAATCGGTGTGATGAAGTTTCTCCTTCCCTCCACCCATCTCTTCGCCCTCCCTCCCTCCTTCCCTCCCTCGTTCTGGGGGAAAGCAGATGATGGGGGGGGTGTTTGTATGTGGGTAGATTTCTCTCTTAATTAAACTAAAGCCATCCTTTCTTGTAATTCTATATAACCTCCACTTCTTCCCCATCACACACACACACACACCATGTCCTTAGAGGCTTTGCATGCAGGATCAAGACACAACACAGTTTTCAGCGCAAACAAAACTCCCTCCTCTTCCCCCTTCCCTCCTCCCCTAGCTCTGTTTTCTTCTTAATTTGTGAAGAAAACAGAAACACAGTGAAACATATCCCCTGGCCACATGTTAATTTCCATTCCTCTCCGTCGTGATTATTTTAAGTTTGTTAGCATTGCAAATTAAACATGAGCCATGAGGCTCCTACTGCTGCCCTCGACTTCTCTGCCTCTCGGCTGATGTTCTGACACCAGGATCTTACCGCCTGTGGTGGACCGCAAAAAGTAGGCAAGAGTATCAGTCTGATGGGGTCCTTGCACATAGTGGAAAACTTTGGCATTCATGCCAGTGCAAGGCAGGGATGCCAACCAACATGGATGGCTTTAAAAGAAGAAATTTGTGGAGAAAACTATCAATGGCTACTAGCCATGGCGTTGATGTTGTCCCTCCATGATTGGAGGCAATAATGCTTCTGAATGCTAGATGCTGGGAATCGCAAATTGGGCAGGTGCTGTTGCAGTCAGGTCCTGTTTGCAGGCTTCCAGTTGAAGCATCTGCTTCTCCCCTGTGAGAAGAAGAAGAGGAGTTTGGATTTGATATCCTGCTTTATCACTACCCAAAGGAGTCTCAAAGTGGCTAACATTCTCCTTTCCCTTCCTCCCTCACAACACTCTGTGAGGTGAGTGGGGCTGAGAGACTTCAGAGAAGTGTGACTAGCCCAAGGTCACCCAGCAGCTGCATGTGGAGGAGCAGGGAAGTGAACCCTGTTCACCAGATTACGATTCTACCGCTCTTAACCACTACACCACACTGGCTCTCCACACCACAAGATAGTGGACTAAAGGCACCTCTGGTTTGATCCAGCAGGACACTTTATATGTTCTTAGGATGTCAGTTTGCATTTCTTAGTGCAGAAAGTATTGATGTGATGTGTAGAGATCTTTCCTATTCTACTTAATTCAAGAGGGTTCTGGAAGCTTCTCTGTGTGAGAAAAACAAGCAGAAGGTTTGTGATATTTGGGTTATTTCCTCAGAGAAGTTGAGTACAACTGGTTTAAACTGGTTCTCTTATCTCTTTCTGTCAAGGTCATGCTGACTATAATAGTGAGGCCAGAAGGAGCCTGAGTTTCAATCTCTTTTTCTTTCTGGTGTTCTGCATATAGTGTTAAGGTTTAGTCTTATTATAAGTTATTGTAAGTTTAAGTTAAGTCTGCTGCAGCTGGATTTCTTATGGACAGTGCCAATCCTGAATGTATTGGATTTGTGACCTTTATGCTCACTTGCTACTTCAGTAGCAGTAAAGCTCTGCTGGATGAAATATAATTGCCTCTGGTCGATTTTTGCAGGAATCCTACAATGTGTTTAAATTGTTACTCTGCTAACTATACACTGGAATCTACTCCGGATCAATCTTGAGTAGACTTTCAATGACACTTCCAACCTCAGAAATATATCTTGGAGAGGGCTTCCTTAAAAAACAGCATCTTCCAGAACAAATATTACTATCTGTTTTGGGACACCCAGGGATAACCAATTCATCTGTGTTCATTCACAACTGTTCCATTCAGAATTGCTCACTCCCACATGAAGTAATGATGGCCACCAACGTAAGTGCCTTCAAAAGAGGATTAGACACCTTCATGGCAGAGAAGCCTACCAATGGCTACTAACCCTGATGGATAAGTTCTACTTCCACCGCTGGAAGAAGCATGATCCTGAATACCAGTTTCTGGAAACTGTAGGAAGGGTGAGTGCTGTTAGGCCCAGGTCTTGGTTGTGTGCTTCCCACTGACCATGGTGAGAACAGGGTGCTGAACTATGATGGGCCACCAGCCTGGCCCAGCAGGCTCTTCTTATGGTCTTATGGAGGTTGCTCAAGGCAAGGAAAGGCAGCTGAAGAGGGAATGGCTCACTGGTGAGGCAAGTGAGGAGCTCAGTGTTACAGCAACTGCTTAGCCTGCAGGTCTCAAAGGAGAAAACATTGAGTCTTCCCCATCATTAACATCCACAATTTTGACCAATACGAAAAGGGTTAGTTTTGTCCAGTCAGTAAACATCCAGCTGCTTAGAGTGAATTTGTCCAACAGACAGAACCTTGGTCCATTCTGGAGTATTTGGGGAAATGATTTATGATGAGATAAAAATATGTTTAAAATGGCAATACAAAAAAGAGAAACCCCAAAGCTTTCCTCTTTGGGATTAGAGAGACAGAAGTCCCCCCCCCCCAAAAAAAAAGATAATTAAGCTCTTTAAGTATGTAATGACAGCAGCTAGGATTCTTTATGCACAAAAATGGAAGGAAGAAGAAGTTCCCACCCAAGAATAATGGATAAGCAAAGTGATGGACTATTGGCAAAGTTAACAGCTCAAATAAGAGAACCTAATGATGATAGCTTTGTGGAAGAATGGAAGAATGGACTATTTAAAGGAATACTATAGAATGATGAATTCGTGATCAGGATTTGATTTATGAGCAACAGGAATGAGAGATTATTGTATTGTTGTGGTGGTGTAAGAGAGAGAGGGTAGGGTGCAGCAAAAGTGGAGAAATCAAAAACACCATGGAAAACGTGGTGGGAAGTCAACACAACAAAAGAGAGCTCTATTATGTATGGGAATGTATATGTGAAACTTTTGAAAATTTAATAAAATATAACTGACAAACAAAACCTTGGTCCACATAGCTCAGTATTGTTTACACTGACTGGCAGCGCCTCTCCAGGATTTCAGGCAGTGAAGATTCCCAGCCTTACCAGGAGATGCCAATGATTGAAACTGAAAGCCTTCTACATGCAATGCAGATGCTATGACTCTGAGCTACGGCCCTTCCCCATGAGCTACCAAGCATGCCCTTTCCTTGCTGATATCTTTATCAAACTCCTGCTCAGCCCTAGTTTCTTCTTTTTCAAAGGCCTCCAGTCTAACCCAGCACCGAAAGCTCCAACTTAACGCCTGGCGTTCCTCTCAGATTTCCAAAGTGCCTGAGTCCTGAGAATATGTTTCCAATATCCTTTCGTCTCTCTCTGTTAGTGTTTTACTCAGCTCCACGCTGGGGAGGTCCTGACCTCTATGGTCTTCGGGGAAAGGGAGCGGGGGAAGGGAAGGGGGGTCTCCGTCCGCATCAGGAAGTTTCAGCCTGCAGGAGAAGCTGTTTCTTTGGCTCCTCTAATACACTTAACCTGGAGGAGGCCGCTGCCAGGCCGCGATTAGATTACCAACGTTGGCATGTTTGGGCCTAACAAATGGCAAATGGATGGTGTGCCAAGCGATGGCTAATCGCTGTTGACACAGATCTATTGTGCGGCTCGTTATGGGAGGGGAGAGTTCAGGCCGGCATTCAGGTTCTGCCTTCATGACTGCAAGAAGGGTTGAGAAGGTCACCGGTATACCTGTCTCCTTGAATATGAGGGCTCTCCAACTTGGGTGTCATTTTTAAAGGTCTCCATGGCCCTCTCTGGAGGACCATATAAATGTCCTGTCCTCCTCCGGGCCATGGGAGAGCAGATATCGAACACTACTTTTCTGCAAAACTGCCATTAGTATCATATTAAAAAGTCACACACAAAGGACATGCACACAGGAGGCGGCAAGAACTGTGGATGCTCAGCAGTGCATTACTCCAAGATACTCCTGGGATACGCCAGGAAGTTCAACTCCCCCTCCACAATCTCTTGTAACGGCTTGGGCACAGCTTACCTGAAAGATCTTATCTCCCAACACAGTGGTGCCTCGGGTTACATACGCTTCAGGTTACATATGCTTCAGGTTACAGACCCAGAAATAGTGCTTCAGATTAAGAACTTTGCTTCAGGATAAGAACAGAAATCGTGCTCTGGCGGCGCGGTGGCAGCAGGAGGCCCCGTTAGCTAAAGTGGTGTTTCAGGTTAAGAACAGTTTCAGGTTAAGTACGGACCTCCGGAACGAATTAAGTACTTAACCTGAGGTACCACTGTACAAACCTGCCTGAGTTTTGAGATCCTCAGGTGAGAACCCTCTCTTGGTCCCATCAACATGAGAAACACTGTTGGCATTGACACAAGAAAGATTTTATGGGAAATGTTGGAAGATTCAGGGCAGGCCAAAGCAAGAACTTCTTCACACAGTGCAAAAAGGAT